GTCCATAAATTATGGTCTTACCAGTAAACCTAATAATTAATGTTATTACATAAAAATGTACGTAACTAACTACACAGTCATCTTAATCACGACAATCTCTCAAACAGTAATTTCAATGTTCAACGCTATTATAAGTTTAAAAAAGTCAGAATCAATTAGAGTATATTCTGATTTTGAAAGTGCAACTAATTTTCACTTGTAAAATGTGGTCGATAAACGAACTCACCAATAGTAAAGTGAAACGCTCACAACCACACTAACTTTTCTTGACCTTGTATGACTGTGTCTTATTTATCCATCAATCACAATTCGATGTTTATTATAAAACAATATTTGCTCTGTTGACTCATTTCTCCTACTCTCTAGCTACTGTTCGGTACGTTAGAGTTGAGCCTGCAGGAAATCGCTTCCTATATCACTCTTAAAATATACACTTGATTATAGAAATTAAAACAGATTAACTTTATTGATTATCAGTAAGGGAAACATTTTTATACCGATTTATTTCAGAATTTTTGCAAAAAATGTGTACTGGATGAAATATCCTAACTACTTGACGGAATACGGTTGACTAAACAAAATGGATTTCTATGATAATTATATGTTGCGATATAGAACAAAGAAATATCGTCTTTTCATTAGCCATGGTAACTAATTTACGGAAGACATATATTTTGCATAACCCACTTTATTTATGAAGAGAAACACAAATCCTCAAAAAAATCTACAGACGGTCAAGAGATTTTAGTAAATTGTTGACTGTCTTCACTGATCGGGTAAATGATTAACATCGAAGTTGCATTTTGTTATTGACTGGAGAAGGTAAAATTTTATGTTTCCATAAATCGGATTCAAGAAAGTTATTTCATGTTTTAAGATAATAACATATTTGCATTCATCACTTGTAACCGAGTTTGAGTTTATTTTATTACGTACTTCCTTTCGATGAGATTAAAAGAGTTCGAAACAATATTTCGGGGTCGGTAAACTTCTCAACACTCACACTCGTGATGACTTTCAAATTAGGACTAAGTAGCTATTCACATCCACTCTTATTTTTCCAGTTGGTGCTCCAACTGATGTCTGTAAGTAACACAAAATACCTTCAGACTGAATTAATCGTCATAACTCAATCCACTTAATAATAATAATTTTATGCTTACTAGCAGTCAACATGTTGTTATATTACTCTATTAAAAGGTTGTGACTAGCATAATTCAATTATGTTGTGAATGAAACATTTACTGCTGATTTCCTTAAATACTCCTAGTGTTTTAACATAAACTATTATATAGAAATTCCTAATTTGAAGAAAACAACATAATAAAATAATTATGGAATTTATGAGTAGCAAGACAAAATTTAAACAAAGGTTTCAGCTCTCACCAATTCCATAACGTAATTTAGTCTCACCAGGTTCGACAGTATATAATACATTTGTTGTAAAACAAGTTTAAATATATTCCTATTTTGATTTAAAACAAATCAATCATCTACCTGAACATTAGTAATGACTCAAATTTATCGATCATTATGTCAGTGAATAACATTGGTTACTAATGATGAAAAACATATCTAGTGAATTATCTAAACAGAATTATTAGCTACCTATAAAAGAAAATTTGTCGTGGAAATTTAAATAATAACGTTTATATTTCCATGCATATTCATCACTGTAGTACTCTGCTTCATAAGAAGCCGATAAGAACTTTCTCAAGTCCACTGATAAAGTGAACTAATAAACCTTGTGATTTTTAATTTCATCATCTACAACGTTTGACCGCTGAGTAGTAATCAATGTCTTGTTAAATCATCCTCATCTACGATCTCGTTCTAGTTCTAAACAAATATGTCAATGTTTGTTACTTAGTGGTAAATCAACGTAAATATTCCAGTCCTACTGGAAGTCATTCGCGTTTTGTATAGCTTGACGGGGAAATCCTTAAATGAAACTGAATGATCTGAGCTAGAATCCATAATGGAGCATCATTTCATGCAAGATAACAGGGTCATCTAAGTGATGAATGTGGAATAGCACGAAATTTTGGTATAGAATTTCCTACTGACTACCTTCAATTGCCTAAAAATCTTATCACCACAAAATTATCGCAGACGTTTTTCTTAAAATTATTTTTCGGCAATTCATATCATATATATAAAATGGGTTTAAAAAAACTACATATGACTTCTAAAATTCAGCTTCATTGTAGTTTATTTCGTTTTGCATAGTTACAAATCAATTCATTTGTTTTAGCTTTTCATCTTAAATACATAAATAAATTATGTGGATAATCTTTCACATTTTATGACTTACACAAATCAAAGTTGTACTTTATGCTAACTACATACACAAAATAAAGGACATTTCGAATTTTGAAACCAGTGAAAATGTCATCTATCTTTATTTGAATCTTGACACTAATCTTCTTTTAACTGATAATTAACAGTAGGATGTATCTATATAATATTTTTTTGTTTTGTGACAAAATTTCTAAATAAAAATAAAATCAGATCAACAATTTGTTTGTCATTCTTTTTACTGTCGTACTGTAGTCAGTAATGTGGTAATTCATCACTATAACTGTCACTTAAGTAATAATTATATTTCAATTCAATTACTAATTGTGTCATGATAAATAAGTATATTTTAGTCCTTGGCTTTCTACTTTCTTTCCAAAGTATTTCCATATGATTATCTGTAGATTTCTTCCCATTCTATTCTCATGCTACCCCATCCATGAAAAAAACTTCATTTTCTAAGTGTCTTCACAAGTAATTTGTTGATTATCGTTTGTTTATCTCAATTTAACTAATATTCATTTATTCTTTAATTATTGTATTAGGTGTTTTTATTTTTCATGTCAGTTCTCATATTATTCATTCATTTGAAACAATTGAGTTTTATCATTTATAAAGAGTAATTAAAAAATATTGTTATTTCGATAAGCAAATGTCACATATCGTTGGATTTTCAGTGAACTAAAGTTATTAACTAATTATTCTTGTTATTTAGTAATAAAGCTGAAACAGTTTCACAGTTGATCACATCCACAATATGACTATTTATGTTCTGTTTGGTTCTAATTAACTTTGGGTGTTAAATAATCAGCAGTGCGCATCCAGTACCCAACACGCGAGATTCAAACCCAGGACTTTCGGACTCGCACGTGCACGCTTAACCTCTAGACCAATGAGCCGGCATTCAATGGTTTGAGGACTGATTTTTCTTTGTTATGTAGAAGCACCGCACAACTGCTTAACTAAAAGACACTCAATCAAATGTTTCTGGTTATTAATATATGATCAATTAGTAAATAAAGGACTCATTCTTGCAAGCAATCAGTTAGCAATAATAAATCAACCTCATAGATAAAAGTTTGTGAATATCTTGTTCTCCGAAATATTCGTTGAAATTGTTTTCGTATAACACATATATGAGTGTGAAACACAGGATTGTTTTCCGCTTATCAATCGTGCTAGCAGTCGATTTGCATCTTATCAGTATCGAAGCTTGTGACTTAATGAGAATATCAAGGTAAGCCGCACAGGATTCACATATGCTAAGTAAGACTGATCAAAATCCACTCAAAATATGAGTAGCAGAATAATCCAAACCATTTCAAGCAAAATTATTAACATCGAATGTAATTAAGATTATGAACCAACCCAAGTTAATCATTGAAACCCTGGAAACAGTTGACAGTCATTTCCTCCTAAAATGGGGACTCCTCAACAGCGCTCAAACACACTCAACAGACTTCAAAACCCCAAGGTGAGAATTATCATACATTCATCAGTGACTAGCTTCGAAAAAAAGTACCGGAGTTCTGGGGAGAAGCCGTAACCAGTGGAGTCCATCTGTGTTGGGTGTGAGATGGTTATCCACCGACGACAATGGAACAATCACGCAACATCGTGAATCTACTGAGTTTAGACTCACATTATTAGATCTCAGATGATTGGTTTGGAGGCGGGACATTTGAGTGTGAGACTTAAGATTATGGGTTTGATCCTCAGTGATGGGGTCTTAGATGTGGACTGAAGGCGAGGCTCGGTCTAGAACGAAATGTCTGTTCATTCCTTCAAGGTTTTTAATTATCGGCTAACTTAGATCTATATATGATCTGAGTAACCCTCGACAATATTTACAATCCTACACTGGTAATAATATCTAAAATGAAACAGAATATGACCGTTTATTTAATAAGTAGGAACTAATTAATATTGCTTATATGTATATTATCAAAGGACCTCATTCGTAAGCTTCCGTTTCAATCTATTACTAGTCATTATGTTTTTTATATATTGAAGATAGATGTAGATTTCCTTGAAATATGATGCTCAGTTTGTATTTTAAAATATCCAATGGAGTTGTGCACACAACGAGATAAAAAAAGTTGTGATTTGTGATACTCCAATCATCTTACAGATTGATTCAAAACCATTAGCGAACATGTTATTACGTAATCTCAAACAAAATAAACAGAATAGTTCAAAGTACATAAGTGAATACAAACGCAGTTGAAAATTGATTGGCACTTATTCATACTAACTGTTTCAAAACCAATAGTAACCTCCCATATGCAACAATGATAACTAAAAAAATAATCAATGCATAAAACATACACACTATCATAACAACGCATTGTTTCACATGATTAACTGAGGACAAAACACCTAAAGTGCAATCACATAGTTATTAACCAATAATCATTCACAAATTCATAAAAGATTAAAACTATCATAACGACCCTATGAATAACACGAGATGTCAACAACCATAAATTGACACGAATAAAATAATTTTACATTCGATAGCAGCATCAATAATAACCTAATTATAGGTGATGTTATTTAAACATAAGTAATAACATTGTAACAGTAGGTTGAAACGTCATTTAACCTCAGAAAATATGTCAATGGGTGAATATGATCGTGAAGTTTTAAATGATCACATAATTTATCTCACTGAAAACAAAACATTCTATAACAACCCTTACATTTCTTACTCTTCTTTACAAAGTGAATCCACGAAAGCTTCAGTGGGGCTCTTCATTTTGACGTCAATCAGATCAGACGATGTAATCGACGGACTCACCACTTTTGTGGGACACATATTTGTCTCCACTTGGATCGTACGAATGATTGATATTGAGATCAACACATCGTCAATCCTCGTATATTATCATGGAATTAACTCACGTTAGTGAATATTGGAATTAAAATAAGTCAAATACGAGAGAGGATTTCGAATACGTATATTTTGTACAATCATTAATCCAGGCAGACGATCAAAGGAACGGAGCAAAACGGAATGATGGGCGGTGGGAAAAGCATGTGAGCCAACTCTTTTTCAACCAAGCATTAATCGATATTTATAGTCACACAAAAGTACGTTACAGACATGTGATGAATGGGATAATAAACGCACACACATATGCTTGCGTTAAAACAGTCAAGGTTGATAAGCGAACAATTAGCAAGGTCAAAATTATAACTCATCAAGAATTGATAAATTGACCTGTCCAGAAGCTAGAATAAGTTATGTGGGCTTAACATAGTAATCGACAATACAAAGTATATGGAAGACATACCAAAAATGTTTGGAAGAATAACAACGTCACAAATGCTGTCGTCATCACTTTCAATCACCACGTCAAACACTACCAGATATGAGATAACCACATAACAAATAAATTGCATACAGTAACATGGTGAGAAGTTATGCACACTCATCCGATTCATCTCATTGTGTTGATTGCAACCAATGAGAATTGTGTCTTCAATTTATTTGAATACATCTTAGTCATGAATTCTGTTTTTCAGAATGATTTTATGCACATCGTGAGATTATGGATTACCATCACGACCAACTTGTGTAAACTGCATCTATTCTTTTTATGCAAACACGTTGCTGATGGTGATTACTTTCTATGGTCTAGTGAATTAAAAATGTGAATGTCATAAAACAAGTCCATTCAGGAATTGTGTTTGGTTATTGTTAAGTCAGATGTATCGAGACTGAATTGTTTGATGATTTTCCTGAGAGTTCTAAATGGGCGATAACCCACCGAGGAATCAATTTGGAATAATTTCACTTCTCCTTCTATCAGTATGTTCACTACATAGTTAGTTCAATGAAATATTGATTTATTCATATCATGGTAAATCTCGTTGACCAATAATGCTTTAGTTGTATTCTCAGGCGTGATGCAATTAGTGTGAACTTCTCTTATTCGTGTTATGTATATATTCTGATAGAACAGTGAGGAGATGGATTTGATCAGATAAAATATGCGATGTGTTTGCGTCTAATATCTGGAACGATCTGCCACACATATACTTATCATGGAATTTTAAATGAAAATGAATAAAGGTCAATTTAATAAGAGTTCAAATAAACAAAACTGTTATTTAATAGAAGAGTCAATTGAAACTAGACCACCATGAAAAATCTAGAAGCACTGGACGGTCGTTTCATTCTAGTATGGGACTCCTCAGCAGTGCGCATCCACGATGCCACTCCGCGAGATTCGAACCCAGGACCTATCGGTCCAACGGTGTTAATGTAAATAAAGAAGAGATTAAATTAACATAGTACAGATTATATTTTCCACAAAAGTCACCGATTTAATGACTGTGAATATCAAAATAATTACCATCATTCAATGTTCGGTTAATTTGAAAAATGAACATAGAATCATGTACAATACTGTAATGACCTGTTTTGAGAAGCGAAAATATAATTATTCCTAACAATTTAAATTCTAGCTTTAAAATGTATAAATTTCTTTAGGTAGAAACTAAAAATATATCTATTTGTTGACATTTCCAAATGTCTCTCCTTTAATCTAGTTGGAATGTTTGTATTAACCAATGAATAGAAATTTATGTGAATGTAAATAAATTCGTGTATAATGTAAATAAAACAACATGAATTGTAAGTACAGAGACATTTATTAATGTACAACAATAATTTATAAAATAAGACCACAGCTACATGTTCTTTCTTATTAACTAAATGTTTAATACCCGATTCCACAACTCCTTTTTACAATCTTTTTAAGCACTTATTATTCCTAACTTTACGATTAAATCACGTTTCTTTTCGAATTATAGAAGTATTCGCTATACAAATTAAGAACTATTACAGACAACAATTTATTATATCAAGGGATACCCGAATGATTTTATCTCACCATTGTAAATGTTTGTCTCAAAGAAATAAAAGCACGGAATATATCAAACTTATTATCAAAGTTAACCAGTTGCAGTAAATTAAAGTGATTTTTTCCTGCTTTCGATATTTCACTTCTTTTTCCATTTCAATGCATGCAAAGATACAAATGTCGATAACATTGAGGTAAGCATTGGAATAGATTAAAGTCCATTTGTATTCTACTTGTTGTCACGTTTCTTCTGAAATTCCATTTTTATTATCTTTTTTAAAAAGTTAAAGGGATTCGTTTATTAAATGAAATAAACCACATAGTTTTCTTTGTGCCTATTTGATTCACTTTGGTAATTATGTACGTGTGTACCCTATATAAAGTTAATTCATTTCAAAATATGAAAAATAAGTAAATAGTAAGTAAACTGAAATTTAAAATATGTTATAATGATTCTTTTCTCCACCTACACGAATTGTGCGTTAATTTACCTTAGACGAATATCCACACTAGTTACCCTCCTAATGTCTATTCTACAGGACTTCAACAAAACTTAGATCAAGAACACGTGACTAGCCCGATTAGAACGCAATTATATTTCCACACCAAAAACCGTAAACAATCACAATTATGATAAGGGTAAGAATATATGTAACTAAACAAACAACCAATCATTATTTTCCTTGTCCACACATCAATAAAATAGTCTTGTTTATAATTGATTTTTTTTTGTAAAATGAGTGTTTTACTGAAAGTGTACTTCAGTTTTGCTAGGTTTGAAGCTATCACGAGTTCACTTAATCTGCGAACGAGAACAAGACTCGGTGACCAAAGACCAGTAAGCTAGCTAGTGATGCGTCCCAGCCCCGCTAACTAGAGGGAGAAGTCCAAGCTTGGAATGGGAAGTATATTCTGCAAACAGACAGAAACGAGTGATAACAACAAACACAATTCAAAACGTATATATACAGTGCAAAATCGTCCTTGGGGAGAGTTGCCAAATAGTATACTAAAAGAGGCAACGGACCAGTAGCATTTAAGATATTTTCCAGTGGGAAATACGACATGAAGGTGACAAGAGCGCCTTTGGCGCGAAAACAAAGAAATTCAAATTTTCTAAATATAATTGCAAAATTAGGTCCTTTCCCAAGCGAGTTTTGGGGATCTAACGTCCCAAAAAGTTTGACTCCATTTTATCTGTTAGTATTACTACGATCAGTATTATTATTTATCTTACTTTCGACGTCATTTGTTGGTTTGACGATGAAAAATTTAACAGATAATTTTAGGTATTTTCATTTTTGTTCGTCATATCTTTCACATCTTCCATTTCTCCAATGAATGATTCTTTTTTTCATGCTACCGTTTTGTGCATTAAGACGAATTTTATGTAATACTGTTATTTAGAAAAACAACATAAGTTTACGCAATCATTCCATGAATCACAGGACCTTATAATTTTTTACAATTCATAAGGAAATTTCGCTTGCGACAAACAATAATTACAAGACGGATGTTACTTGGTATTTTTGTTCAGTGCTTCCTCAAAAACTACTTTCAAAGAACATTAACCCACCGTAACAATACTGGCAAGACTCTAATTTAGGGACGAGCCAATCAGAAGCGTTTGAGCAATTTCAATTATTAACCAATCAGAAGACAGTGTAAAGTAAAAATATATTATAAGAAAGTAATGAAGTACAGCAGACATTCTTCTTTTACATGATTTAAAAACTTGTTAAGGTTTGATAAAGGTTCAGAAGTCCTGAATTCATAATGCACATGTTATAGAAACTCGTCCATAGGGTTAGGGTTCAGGGTTAGAGGTTACGGTTAGGTTTGTAGCCTAGGGTTAGGGTTGTAGCCTCTCAATAAACACCTCTTCTCTAAAATCCGTTGTAAACCGATCGTATGTTAGCACCCTAACCCTAACGCTAACCTAACCCTAAACCCTAACCCTATGGACGAGTTTCTATACCATATGGATTATGAATTCAGAACCTCTGAACCTTTATCAAACCTTAACAAGTTTTTAAATCATGTAAAAGAAGAATATCCACCGTAATTCATTACATTCTTATATTTTCACTTCATACTGTCTTCTGATTGGCTAGTAACTGTCAAGGTCATTTAAGATTCGTTCAAAGGCCGTCCCTAAATTAGAGTTTCGCCACAATACTATATTTAAATTCCCTTGATATTGTTTACTTGAATCTTCCCATTGATGTTTAGGACTACAATTGATCAGTTTCTTATTGGCATATGTGCATACTGTGAGTATGCCTCGATATTGCCTTAATTCACAAGCATTATAAGCAATGATGGATAGTGGCTAGCAGTGGAACCCAGGACACGCGTTTCGTCCTAGTTGGGGCTTGTTAGCTGAACGTACATGCATCTCAGAGTTGATGTTCACTCTAGGACATTGCAATCAACACAATGAGATAAATCGGATGAGTGTGCATAACTTCTCACAATGTTACTGTATGCAATTTATTTGTTATGTGGTTATCTCATATCTGGTAGTGTTTGACGTGGTGATTGAAAGTGATGACGACAGCATTTGTGACGTTGTTATTCTTCCAAACATTTTTGGTATGTCTTCCATATACTTTGTATTGTCGATTACTATGTTAAGCCCACATAACTTATTCTAGCTTCTGGACAGGTCAATTTATCAATTCTTGATGAGTTATAATTTTGACCTTGCTAATTGTTCGCTTATCAACCTTGACTGTTTTAACGCAAGCATATGTGTGTGCGTTTATTATCCCATTCATCACATGTCTGTAACGTACTTTTGTGTGACTATAAATATCGATTAATGCTTGGTTGAAAAAGAGTTGGCTCACATGCTTTTCCCACCGCCCATCATTCCGTTTTGCTCCGTTCCTTTGATCGTCTGCCTGGATTAATGATTGTACAAAATATACGTATTCGAAATCCTCTCTCGTATTTGACTTATTTTAATTCCAATATTCACTAACGTGAGTTAATTCCATGATAATATACGAGGATTGACGATGTGTTGATCTCAATATCAATCATTCGTACGATCCAAGTGGAGACAAATATGTGTCCCACAAAAGTGGTGAGTCCGTCGATTACATCGTCTGATCTGATTGACGTCAAAATGAAGAGCCCCACTGAAGCTTTCGTGGATTCACTTTGTAAAGAAGAGTAAGAAATGTAAGGGTTGTTATAGAATGTTTTGTTTTCAGTGAGATAAATTATGTGATCATTTAAAACTTCACGATCATATTCACCCATTGACATATTTTCTGAGGTTAAATGACGTTTCAACCTACTGTTACAATGTTATTACTTATGTTTAAATAACATCACCTATAATTAGGTTAATATTGATATTGCTATCGAATAAAAGGGATTTTATTAAGCTTCTTTAAAATAGTGTACAAGTGTACATTGACGAATATTCATATCATGTGTATAAACTGTATTATAAGAAAATAATTATTATAATAATGTTTGTATTCCATCCGTGAACAGGAAATTGAACCTGTAACATTTTGCAGCTTAGTGTAAATTAACTTTTAGACAGTAAATAATAAAATCTAACTAAGGCAAGTCTAAATAGTACAAAACAGCAAATCAGAATACTTCATACAGTCGAAATGATGTTGATTTTTGTGATGTTATATAATTTAGTTAAAACTTCAGTCAGTCAGTTACAACGTAGGACCAGGCATACATGTGCGGCGGACCAAGTTGCCACACCTCATTAGCACAGCAGGACGAACACCGGACTCATAGA